TCTGTCTCTGTGATCAGATCAGCGAGTTTCTGTAAAGCCAGGCTCATGTGCGTTTGAGTAGAAAGGCTTACAGTTAATGAAGAGCACTTCTAGATCGAGACAGCACATCTTTTCCAACACAGTTACATCTGTACACCACCTCTCATTGATGTAAAAGCATGTCCCGCCGCCGAGCGATTTCCCCGTTGATTCTGCGTCGCGGTCCGCTCTGAACAACTGAAAGCCCGGCAGATGTAGCGCGCTGTCCGGAATGGCGTCATTCAGCCAGGTTTCCGTGAAACACAAAGCAGCAGAGTTTGAAAAATCCTTGTTTGTCCGGGAGAGCAGAAGAAGTTAGTCCGTTTTGTTAGGTAGAGAGCGGAGATTCGCCAGATGGATGCTAGGCAACGCCGTTCGAAAACCGCGCTGTCTAAGCTTCACGAGCGCGCCGGCTCGCTTCCCCCGTCTGCGCGTCCTAAAGCGTTTGATAGGCGCCGCTGCTCCGCCAACTACAATGTTCAGCAAAACGTCCAAATAATTGAAATTCGGTAGGAGATTTTGTGGTGTGTTCTGCTGAATGTTCAGCAGTTCATCCCTGGTAAAACTGATCGTGTTTGAGAAACAGAAAACAGGCAAAACTAACAAAAACAATACAAACACTGGAGAGCCAAGCACTGAGGCGGCTGTCTGCGGCGCCATCTTTATCTCTTTTAAGATATAAAGAAAAATATGTATGATTTGAAACCTTGATCAACCTTGAAATCTTGATCTCTTTTAAGATATAAAGATAGAAAGAAAAATGCAAAGAAACCTGAGCTTATGTTGTTCATGGTCATATAAATAGATTTCATCTGATTTTTTGTTTGTTGGGTTGTAAATTCAAACCAGTTGAGAACCACTGCACAAATTAAAACAATTCTAGCCTAAGATATACCATATACAACAGATGAAAGAAAAAAAAACATACAAAGCCACGCTGCACCTACGCAATTCACTCTCACTCTTAAAAATCTCCCTGACATGCTAAGTATTGCAGTATTTGAGACACAGTCATCCACCACACCCATACAAAGGACCATGAGGGAAGGTAAAAAGGTGCACAAGGGAGGGCTGCAGTCAAAGTATAGAGAAAAAAAAAACAAGACATGCAATTGTCTTTCGTCACCAAAGTGAATACCTTCATCTTCATCACCGTCGTTATCGGATAAATCCTCGCCCTGTTTTTTGGAATGTGTTCCTGTTAGTAAAGCAGGAAAAATACAGAGAAACACAGGAAATTCAAAATAGTATGATCATCAAGACAGGAAATGGACTGTACAGAAAAAAAAGCTATACGTGTATTTAGCTATACATGTGATTAATATTAGACAGTAATTCATTAACTTACATGAAACTGGTCAATAACAGAAATCATTTAAATGTATAAGTCATTTTTAACCAGTGATTAATGATGTCTTACATCTATTGGGAAATGATCAGAGTAGCGAGGTCAATCTTTTAAAGAGATTTTTATAAAACTCTTGAATGTCATTCATAAAATGCATGTTTTTTATTTTGTCTTTTAAGAAATGCAAAGCTTCAGTGGTACAACCTGCTTTATATGTGCATTGTAGTCCACTAGGTGTATTGCATCACACTGTTAAAGGGATAGTTCACCCAGAAATTAAAATTCTGTCATTAATTACTCACCCTCATGTCCTTCCAAATCCAAACCCATAAGACCTTTGTTCATCTTTGGAACACAAATTAAGATATTTTTGATGAAATCCGAGAGCTTTCTGACCCTGCATAGAGAGCAAAGCAACTGAAACGTTCAAGGCCCAGAAAGGTACCAAGAACATCGTTAAAATAGTCCATGTGACATCAGTGGTTCAACCGTTTTTTTATGAAGCTTTGATTGTACTTTTTGTGCGCAAAAAAACAAAAAGAACGACTTAATTCAACAATTCTTCTCCCCCGAGTTGCCTTCTACCGCCATTATCGAGAATAACACAACACATGCGCATGCTTTCCTCTGCTCCTAAACAAGGCGCAGCGCATACGTCTTCAACGTCAGCAGCATCACGCGCGTGCGTCGTGTTACTCTTGATAATGTCGGTAGATGGTAACTCGGGGGAGAAGAATTGTTGGATAAAGTCGTTCTTTTTGTTTTTTTGCGCACAAAAAGTATTATCATAGCTTCATAAAATTACGGTTGAACCACTGATGTCACATGGACTATTTTAACGATGTTCTTGTTACCTTTCTGGGCCTTGAACGTTTCAGTTGCTTTGCTCTCTATGCAGGGTCAGAAAGCATTCGGATTTCATCAAAAATATCTTAATTTGTGTTCCAAAAATGAACGAAAGGTCTTATGGGTTTGGAACGACATGAGGGTGAGTAATTAATGACAGAATTTTCATTTTTGAGTGAACTATCCCTTTAAGTTGAAGTAAGGAATTGTTTGAGAGAGGTGGCAGCTGTGATACCTGAGGCGAGAAAGCTCTGTCACTTCAAATGTCCTTTATAGTGCATCTGGATTTAATGGCATCATGTTGCAGTTCCCATAAACTCTATTATTTTTCATTGAGAATATTCACAGTCCAAGCGTTTCTGCATTAATATATGGCAGATGTTAAACACATCAGTGAAAATCAAATTTTGAAATACTACAAATCAAATGCAAAACCCTTGGATTTATCAACCACTGACTACATCAATGAATGATGAATTTAATGAATTAAGGCTGTATTTGAAGGCATTTCTTATACACAGGCAATTAATATTTTACATTTAAAGGTCAATGCTGCATTCATTTGATTTCTATAATTTAGCCCTAGGAATGGGAATTATCCGGATAATTGGGATTTAATAATAATGCCGGTTCCTTAACCACGGTGGGCCAGTATTGCACAACACAACGAAATTAAAAAAGCAAACATAAGCTCACAACACAACGAAATTAAGCCACAACACAACGGAAATGCTCCCTACCACTGAGTTAAACTGTCCAAATTGAAAATAATATTGATTTATTTTCTGCTCGATTCATGAATCGATACATTACCAGGATATCAAAACATTCAGTAAAAACATGTTGTTCATTTAAAAACCGATTACACATCGAAGACATTCGTTCTGTTTACCTTCTGTTTTCGGCGTGCCTCTTAAGATGAAACGAAGCAGCGACGTATAGATCACGAAAACAGCTACTGCTCGACCTTGGAAGAATAACCGGCCCTTTATAGAAGGACTAACAACAAAAAGCTTTTGGAAGACACTGCGCTCTGAACGGGCAGATATACTGGGCCAGTGAGCAGTGTGGGATCCCAACAAAAACTTCCTGGATGAGCTGTGTCTTGCATTTCAAGTCGGACTGAATGAAGTGCCAATGGCAAGACTCCGCTCACGCCAGGCCTATGGGCTGCCACACATTTAAAAGAGCCGTTCCTTATCAAGCGGAGGGGACATCCGCTTCCCTTGTGCCTTTCTTCCTTAACTTCCGCCCACCCCTTTCTACATTTATGCCATCGCTGTTTGCCATGCAACTTAGCCTGCAGCTACATACACACACATTTCAAACCTCGGTAAAGTTGAGCTATCCAAAAGCGATTTCCATGCCATTTTATCGTCTGTCATTGCTCAGTCGGAGCCTAGTTCAGATTCCAACACTTAGCAGTTTCCATCACGTTGGCAGACTGCTGGAATATGATTCATTGTGAATTTGTCTTTCTCGTGGGAAAAAAAAACCCTGCTACTCTCTGAATGCCTTGCAAATGCGTTCTCTGATTTGATCCCACCAAATTCCCTTCTCTCAAACAACTAAACTGCACCAAAGCCAAAAATACAGCGGGAATTCTCTCTTAATAAGTGATTTGTCAGAGCCCATTTGAAACATGACAGAAAGAGCTCCCTGAGAGATTTCATCATGCATGCGTGTTTCATAGGAAATGTGTAGCCAACGTTAGACTATTATGTTAATAGAAGCAAATAAACATAATTGACCCTGTACTTGGGGAATGGTATTAATGCAATCTTTAAAAACACCCTTTAGGCATTAAACGTTCTATTAACAGAGTGATTCATCTCAGGGAATTCTTAAACTGAATATATAAACAGATAAAAACTAGATGCATTGAAGATTGCATTGAAGTTTAGCCAACAGAATTCATTAGAAGTGCCTCCTAGGATCATGTTTTTAGAATATATGTATATATATATATATAATGTTCAGCATGGCCGGACTTACCATTGGGCTTGAATGGGCTGCAGCCCAGGGGCCCCGCCTTGTAGGGGGCCCCGCCTTAACCCGTTTACATTTGTTCAGTTATGTGCCAGTCAGAAATTATTATTACACGGGCCAGCCGGGGCTAACAGCTTCCAGCTTCCAACGACAACATTCGAAGCCATAATCAAACAGCATAAACTGGAATTTATGATTATTTTTTTTCACATAAAAAAAGGACACACATATTAAATCACGTCTGCGCGGCGCCGAATCGCCGATTAATTTGTGATCACATGGCTACTTTAAACGGTTCCATTAAGCCTTTAGCCCAAAAGAGCGCACATTTACAAAGATAATGATAAATTCTCACATGTTCACGCCTCACTTCTTTACAGAGGATGATTCTATATTATATTAATGTTCCATATACAGTATATGAACCTGAAAGCACATTTAAATTTTTGTGTATTTTGTGTTACTCCATAATAATGTTCTAGTTGAGGGCATTTGTAGTATAGGTATGGGGCCCAAACATAACCTCAAGCCCAGGGGCCCCCGGCCCCGTAAGTCTTGCCCTGATGTTCAGTATTCAGCATGTATGAAACAGAAAATGGAAAATATGTGTAAATTCAAAATTGTTCTCGAGAAACCGTTTTACAGAAGTCCTTTATACATTAATATTAGTTACTGCAATAGCTGACATGAGCTAAAAATGAACACTTTTACAGCCATTAATCTTGGTTAATGGTAATTTCTACATATGCTAATACAGTTTAACATTTCACGTTTTTATAAATTAGCATTAGTTAATGCAGGGGTCTTCAACAGGGGGTCTGTGACCCTAGGGAGTCTGCAGTGGTTCCTGCTGCAGGAGGTCCACTAATTATTGTCTGAGCTCAGCCAAAGCTACAATTAAGAAGCTATAGTTCAGCTAAATGTTTTCTCTCCCACATAAAATATGTAATGTACAAATATACAATCCTGTAAATAAATAATGATAACTTTATTTATAAGTATATAAACAACATTAATTTGGTACTATAGTTATTATATAGGCATGCAATTATAGGCCAATTTCCACATACATTTTACATTAAAATTATTATTTTTTTTTTCTTCCAGTAGACACACAAGCCCCGATCAGTCATGGAACTTCATTGGTGAAATATTGTGACGTGCTTTACAGCAGTCCTTGATCTGAAAAAGACTGAAGACCCTTGTGTTAATTCATTATTAACATACATAAATTAAAGGAACACTCCACTATTTTTGAAAATAGGCTCATTTTCCAACTCCCCTAGAGTTAAACAGTTGAGTTTTACCGTTTTCGAATCCATTCAGCCGATCTCCGGGTCTGGCGGTAGCACTTTTAGCTTAGCTTAGCATAGATCATTGAATCTGATTAGACCGTTAGCATCTCGCTCAAAAATGACCAAAGAGTTTCGGTATTTTTCCTATTTAAAACTTGACTCTTTTGTAGTTACATCGTGTACTAAGACCGACGGAAAATGAAAAGTTTAGATTTTCTAGGTCGATATGGCTAGGAACTATACTCTCATTCTGGCGTAATAATTAAGGAGCTTTGCTGCCGTACCATGGGTGCAGCAGGCGCAATGATATTACGCAGCGCCTGAAAATAGGCTAACTTCCGTCAACATAACCAACGTGACCACCTGCTTGCACAGGGAGCGTGCTGGGGACTATTTTCAGGCGCTGCGTAAAAATGTATTAATTTTCAAGGATGACGATATGTCACACAACCTGTCAATGTTGGAATCTGTCTAATCCAACTAGTTCCTACCAAGTGACAGATGAATTTGTGCTAAAATACCATTTGATTGATCTGAATGGATGCACAGTCTCCTTTTGAAAGTTCATAAGCCTATTTGTTTGTTTGTTTGTTGTTCCCAATTATCCGGATATTTGCATTTTGTTATTGACATTTAGCAACCCTCTCCCCCTCCCGTTCAGAACAGCCCTGTGACCCATTTTCATGACACAATAATTTAACAATAGTAGAACCACTGATT